CCTCCCCCTCCCCCTCCCCCTCCTCCTCCTTGGCCATGGGCCCACACACCGGGACACCACCGAGTCTGGCCGCAGCCTGGCATTTTCGGACCGGAGCAGCCGCAAGAGCCAGCTGCTTCCCAGGCTGTGGGTCTGGCCCCAGAGCTCTTGTTTGCAGGCCTGGGAGCTGAATTTTCTCAGCCCACTTTTACTTTGTTTTAATTTTTATACATTGCAATTTTTTTTTTTTCTTCAAAAGGAGTTGTGTACAGGCAGGTTAAATGCTTTATAAAAAATAAATAAATAAATAAATAATAACTGCGCTAGAACCAACTTATTCATCATCCTCTTCTCCATCCTCCTCATCCTCTTCATCTTCTTCTTCCTCCTCTTCCTCCTCCTCTTCCTCATCCTCCTCCTCTTCTTTTTCTTGCTTCTTTCGGCCTTGACGACTCACTTGTTTGCTGCATCAGGTTTTCCTTTAGCCCGGTAAGCAGCGATGTCCTTTTCATACTTCTCCTTCAGCTCGGCAGCCCTCTTCTCGTCTGGCTGCCTGTCATCTGCTGCAGTACTATTCCACATTTCTCCAAGCTTCTTTGCGACATCACCAATGGAGAGGCCACGACGTTCTCCTTTGATTTTGGGGCGATACTCAGAACAAGCAGAAGGCCAAAGGAGGTCTCTTGGATGCATTGGGATCCTTGAACTTCTTGTTTCTCCTTTAGGAGGAATATAAGTTTTCATTTCTCTTTCATAACGAGCCTTGTCCACTTTTGCCATATCTTCAAATTTTCCTTTTTCTTTAGCAGACGTGGTCTTCCACCTCTCTGAGCACTTCTTAGAAAACTCTGAGAAGTTAACAGAAGCACCTGGGGGCTTCTTCTTGAGCTCCTCTCGGCAGGTTTGCACAAATAATACATGTGATGACATCTTGCCTCTCGGCTTCTTAGGATCTCCTTTGCCCACGCTTGTTTGTTTTCCTCAGGGAGGTATAGAGTTGCCCAGTGCCCATCTAGTTCTCACTTGCCCCAGTGCTGTCTCTATCTCAGTCCACTTTTCATTTTTCATTCTGAGACAGGGTCTCGCTAGGCAGCTAAGTTCCCCAGGTGGGGCCCAGCCCTGCCATCCTCCTGCCTCAGCTTCCCAGGGTGCTGCATGACCCCTACTAATGTTGTAGGCAGCTGAACTAGATAGAAACATTATAGGCAGTCAGACAGGGCCAGGCCCTCAAGGAAACAAGATGGAAGACAAGGTGACTTTGCAACTGGGAAGAGACAGATACTCCCATACGGGCCACACCTCAAGACCAGGACAAAAGAGGAAACACAGCTACATCTCTCGGGATGGGCATCAGGGATTGATATTCTAAATAGATATCAATCACCTTGAAAGAGCCCAAATAAGTCACTAGCCCAACCCCCAACAGGAGGAGACCCAGTCCCGTATTGATGCCCGCTTGCTACGTGACTCGCTTTCCCATTTGATACTGGATTTAATCAATTTTGCCTGAGCAGTGGTGCTTGTAATCTCATTGGTTGGCCACAGTTTTGTCCCACCTCATGCCCATCTAAGAGAGTTCTTATGCTCTCCACCACCTTAGACTCACCTTACTACATGGTTTTCCTCTATGAACGTCCCTGGAAGAAACAGCTTCCTGGGGACCACCCGCTCGGGGACCCCCTCCTGTCCCTCTCTCAGACAGAAGCTTTCTTTCTCTCAATAAATATTCTACTCTTAACCTCCATTTGTTCCTAAAATTCATTCTTGGGTTTTAGAGAAAACAAATTCGTCCCAGGTACCTTTTAGGTTGCAAGATCAGTTTTTCTCCTTGTGTCGTTTGGAGGTTCCCTGTATCACTACCAGTGTGGTGCACCCCGGGGCCGCCTGCCTTCCCTCCCCGCCCCTCCACCCTAGCTCAGGCTTCTTCACATTTGGTATAGTTGAGAAAGCCTGGGCTTCTCTTTCAGCTCAGCTAAAGGAAGAGACAAGCAGAGCGCTAAGAGGTGGGAGGTGGGGGTAGAGGCAGGACACCAGTGTGTCCCCACATTACAGGGGAGGTTGAGGCAGGAGGATCACAGTGAGGGCCACAACTCAGTGGGACATCGACTGTCTCACACATGGGCCCAGGGCTTCTATCCCATGTCCCCAAAAGGGCAAACAGGAAACAGGAAGGGATAGGAGGTGTGCGAGCCTGAGGCGGTGGTAACCCTGCCAACCTGTCTTTTCTGCCTTTGTCCTCGAATGTCCCCTCACACCACAGCCTCAAGGACACAGACAAGGCCAGGTGCTCCTTCCTGCCCCGCACATGCTGCCCCAATGGGCTCAGGGTGGGATTCTAACCTGCAGAGGAACGCAAAGCCGGGAGTGGTGGTGTGCCTGGGAGCACGGCCCTGGGCAGGCCGAGCAGGAGCATCATTGAGTTCAGGACAGATGGGGTGACACAGTGAGACCCTGTCCTCAAATAAAACTATGAAATAAAAATGAAATCTCTGAAGTGTTAGGCCCAGTGCTCAATACATGGCAAACATCAAGATGCGCAAAGGCTGGGCGGGTGTGAGCATTTGCCTTTGGTAGAGGTGTTCGGCCCTGCACCAGCTACACAGAGCTACACTGGGCGAGGCATCGCTGCGGCCAGGGCGGCCCTGGGCAGATCCTGGCCGCACCCGGCTGGCTGGGCTTTCGCTGTTTACAGTGTTGCTGATCTGGGGCCGGATCCACACGCCCTCGGCCCAGTCCTACAGGTGACTCTCTTTAATGTTCAACTGCTGTCTTTAATTATTAGCCAGGCCGTTGGAGCTGAGCCTCAGATAAGAGCTGGCACCGAGGCTGTGCCTTCACCCATAGGGACAGCCAGAAGAGCTGCTCAGAAACCAGAGCTCCTGGAGGCTGAGGCAGGAGGATCACTATTTGAGTTCAAGGTCAGCCTGCACTCTATAGTGAGAGGCAGTCTCAGAAAAACAAAGAAAAAGGAAAGATAGAGGAAGAAAAAAAAAAAAGAAAGAAGGAAGGAATGAATGAAAGAAAGAATGAAAAGAAAGAGATTGAGAGCCTTTCTTTCTATGCACACAGCATGCAGCCCCAATGTGCTTGTTACCAGGCAGCACTGACCACTACACTTACCGTGCTGGATGATGCCCTGCTCCATGAGCCGCCGGCAGAGCTGTTCACCCTCCTTCCGGGTGGTGGCTTCGCCCTCCTGCACCAGCCAGTCCAGGAGCTCAGATGCCACAAAGGTGCGCTCATACCTGATGCCTTCCTCCTCTCGGGGCTGCAGGAGGGAGCATTCAGGGCTCATCAGCCTGGGGATGGGGAGAAGGCATGGCAGATTGGTGAGACCACCCCAGGGTGCTGGAGGCGCAGCCAGGGAGACCCCGCAGGACTCTGCTACCCCTGCAAGCCGTGGGTCCTCCATCCCAGGGCCAGCTTCCCTGGCCAGCCATTCTAGGACTCCGGGGGTGGGGCATAGCTGGGCACAGCGTGAGCCTTGGCCCTTGAAGTCCAGGTCTGACTCAGCAGCAGGAAGAAAACAGAAGAAGAGGAAAGCTGCTGCTTGGGCGGGCACAGTGGCCCACACCTGCACCCCAGCACTTGGGAGGCTGAGGCAGGAGGATTGCTGAGAGCACAAGACCAGCCTGAGCTACATAGTGAGATTAAGTCCAACGGTACTGGGGCTGGCGAGATGGCTCAGTGGTCTAAAGCACCTACTTGGAACAAGCTTGGCAAAGCACAGGGACCGCGGTTCGATCCCCCAGCACCACATGCCAGCCAGCCGCGCCCCCTGGTGGGCTGAGCTGGCCACACACACACACACACACACACACACACACAATAAATAAATAAACTTTAAAAAAAAAAAGTCCAACGGTACTACATAGTGAGGCCCAGTCTTAAAAATCATAAATGTAAATTTAAAAAGAGCTTTAAAAGAAAGTGATGTGTTCATATGCAGATACATTATTTTACATACACAATAACCCATTATCTGGCTCTAATGTTCAAAACTTCATTCACCTGACTCTTACCAGGGTCACCCATGAGGGTTTATGAGCCCATTTTCTTTTGTCCCTAACTGGGTTCTTTGGGCTTCAATTGCCCACAGACAGGATGTGCTGCGTCTGGACCAGGAACGGTCCCTATCCACAGGGAAATGCAGGGCGAGGCTGGGACCAGCGACTCCAGGCCACCCCGAGTAATGTGCATGCCCTCAGCACACAGGGCTGCAGCTTCCAGCCCCGCATGGAAACCCGGCTCAGAAGGGAAAAGAAAACCTGCAGGAACAGAAATCAAATCAGGGGTCGGGACGTGGCCTCATCCCAGCATCACCCGCGCCCACACTACCGCGCCAACTTGCGTGCTCAGCAGCGTGGAACACGCCCACATGGGAACTGGCATCTCAGGTAGGATGCGGCTTGCCAAAGCACACATGTCAACCTGGGTGTGCTGCTCTCGACACCCTGGAAGGCTGAAGCAGGAGGACCCCAAGTTCAAGCCCAGCCTGGGCCACTTAGTGACTTGGTGAGACTCTAAAAGTAAACATTGTACTCTGGTTTCCCTTCAGATAATATAAATCTTTTGTTTTTTAAAAATAAAATATTACAAAGGGCTGTGGATGCAGCCCAGGGCACAGGCCCTGCGTTCCACAGTGGGACAGAAAGAAGAAAAAAGAACAGAAAAGAAAAAAGAAAGAGGCAGGAGAAGAAGAGAGCACATGCAGGGTGGGGTCAGGGGGCAGGGACAGTCTGTGAACGCAAGGCTGGGGACAAGGACGCTGGCAGGAGCAGAGAACAAGCAGAACATGCAAAAACATCACCCAGGACCAAGAAAAGCCATAATTTTCAGAGACAAAAACAAAGAGTTTCATCACCTTGACTTCAGCAGAGAACTGTCAGATCTGACTGAGGACCCAGCTGGCGAAGGGAACACAACTGTGCCCCAGCCACACGGATGCTGGCCCTTGGGGACCCAGCCTGGCCCAGCAGGGGATGGCTGGGAGGGACAGCGACCCCCTGAGAGGTAGGGAGATGGGACAGGAGAGACGGGGACAGAGGCCAAGGCGCCCAGGTGGGGGGAGCCGGAGGGTGAAGGTCAGGTTGGAGTGGGGAGAGCTGCACACGGGGGCCACTCCCCTGGCACCATGTGGTACCCATGCCTGCAGACACACCTGCCCACAACCACACACAGTGCACACATCCACACACACAGTGCACACACCCGCACACACAGTGCACACATCCTCACACACAATGCATACACCCTCACACAGCTGCACACACACAGAGCACACACCTGCACACAGTGTACACACCTGCACGCACAGTGTACACACAGTGCACACATCCTCACACACAATGCATACACCCTCACACAGCTGCACACACACAGAGCACACACCTGCACACAGTGTACACACCTGCACGCACAGTGTACACACAGTGCACACACCCACACACACAACTGTGCACACAAAACCCCTGAAAAGACAAGTGATCCAGTGATGCCACAGACAGGTGTCTGAGGCGACCCCAAGGACACAGGACAGCCGGTGGCGGCGGCGCAGGGAGGCAGCAGCGTCTTCTGCCCTCAGGCAGCAGAAGGCAGTGCCCGGCGGGCGGCGCTCAGAGCCCAAGATCACAGATCACGGTAGATGGGGCAGAGGACAGCAGCGTGGCTACAGCCACCAAGAGAGTAAGGGGGACCCAGCTGAGACCTCAAGGTGACACCAAAGTGGGCCAGGTGACAGCTCCGGGACACAGTCGCAGGTGCAGGCGGGGGCCGGGGCTTTCGCAGCCGATGCCAGGCACAGAGGAGCGGCGACCCTGGGACCCACGGCTCGCACGGCGCTCAGAGTTTCTCACGGCAGAGAGGCGACACAGTGAGGGGACAGCACCCAGGAAGGGGGACGCTGCCGCCGCTCCCCGGAGGGCTGGGATATGCAGAGAGTTGGAAGCAATCAGAGTAAAAGGCTCCAAATAAAAGCTCCAGCCTAGGGGCTGGAGAGATGGCTCAGTGGTCTAAAGCACCTACTTAGAACAAGCTTGGCAAAGCATCAGGGACTGCGGTTCAATCCCCCAGCACCACATGCCAGCCAGCCCCGCCCCCTGGTGGGCTGAGCTGGCCACACAAACACCTCTCTCTCTCTCTCTCTCTCTCTCTCTCTCTCTCTCTCTCTCTCTCTCTCTCTCACTGGGTTTGATCACAAGACCAGGCAGATAGGACTTTCTCAGCGAGAGACTGGGGCGGGGTGGAAAGCGCGACGACACCACCACCCGACAGGCTGCACATGAGCACTGGGGATCACAGAGGAGAAAGCACGCGCTCTATCGGCTGCGCCCCGACGCCGGCAGCCCTCTAGGGGAGAGCCAAACTCTGCCGACGGCCAGCCGGCCTCCACGCCACCCACAGGGTTACAGCTTGGGGCCAAACAAGAAACTGGGCGTGGTACGCATGCCTGTCATCCCAGCACTCCGGAGGCTGAGGCAAGAGGATCGCCAAAAGTTCAAGGCCAACTTAGGTTACATAGTGAGATCCCTGGTCACCCCTCTCTGTAGCTCCTCCTCCTGCTACAGTGGGGTCCCCGGTGACACATGATAGCCCACAAATTGCCTCTGGCACTAAGGAGGGAAAGTTTACCAGAAAATAAGCAACTCGCTGGCTCTGTCTGAGTCTGCTTTGCAGCCCAGGCTGGCCTTGAGCCCCAGGGGTCCTCCTGACTCAGCCTCTCCACTGCCAGAATGCAGGTGTGCACCACTGTGTCTGGTGGAAAATAAGCACTTCACTGGGATTAGCAAGGGAAGTACAATTTGTACCTCAAAGCCAGACTCATTTTTATCACTAATTAATTTTTCAGCAGAGCTGAGATGGAACCAGCGCCGGCTGCTGGAGGCAGAGTTCCTCACAGAGCGTGTATCTGACCTCTTTTTAACTTCTGCTCATGTCAGTATCACTACTTGGGAGTGTATATTCACTACTCTGGGGTGGGACCCTGGGGCCTTCACACTGGGCAACACCCCCAACTCTGATTCTCCTTTAGACTTTGAGACAAGGTCCTGCTGAGTTTGCCGAACTGCCCAGGCTGGGCTTGAATGGGTGAGCCTCCTGCCTGGGCCTCCCCAGGACTGCCATCTCCGTGAAGGACAGGAGAGGGTGTGCTGTGCACGGCCTCCATGGCAGGGCTGGGCATGGTGCTGAGTTCAGTGTCCAGCCGCTGTTCAGGGAGAGGGGACCTGGGAGAGAGATCATACCTCCCCACAGCCTTCAGGGCCCCAAGAGCAGGGACACCCACACCTGCTCCAAGGAGGAAATCAGGGCTCAGTCACCTGCACCCCACACCCTTGGTCATTGGCACACAGATGCTTTTTTTTTTTTGGACAGGGCCTTGCTGTGTAGCCTGGGCTGGCCATGAACTCAAGGTGATCCTCCTGCCTCAGCCTCCTGGGTGCTAGGATGACAGGGGAGCACAACAGAGCCCAGCCAGATGGAGTTTATCTTAAAAGGCAAACAATGATCCCCTTGTGTCAAGTCCGTTTCCCTCCCCTTACCAGTCCGCTTCCTGTCTGAAAACAGTCTTCCTGTGGCCTGTACCTGTCCTCCTGCCTCGCCTCCTTTTCTCTGGGATTCCCTCAGCAGAGAACAGCTCACTCTTCAACCCAGTGCTTCTGATTTATTTCACTTAACAGAAAGACTGGAGGCAGGGGGAGGGTGAGAAAAGAATTCTGATCTATTACACGCAGTCATGAACTCCCCACGGTGAATGTGATCGCTGTGTGTGGCAAACACAGACAGGGCTAATAAAAACATAAATAAATAAATTATTTTAAAAACAGGAAAATGACAAACTGGGCCTTTGGTGGTGCATGCCCGTAAGGGCGGCAGGAGGCAGGAGGCTGAGACAGGGGGATCGTCATGAACTCCAGGCAAGCCTGCACTATGTAGCAGGACCCTGTCCCCCAAAAACCCTAAAAGACCTCCATGCACAAACTTAGGAAGGGACCACACACACAAGGCTGAAAAGAACGTGGGGCCAAAATTTCAAAACTAAAAAAAGAATATATTTGAGCAAGATCACTATTAACAAATCCATCCAGAGATGCTTACTTGGACTTTTTTTTCTTTTCTTTTCTGCTTTTACTGTTTCTGAGGTGGTGGGGATGGAGCTGAATCAGGGTGTCCTGCAGGTCAGGCAAGCTCTGGACCACCACACTACACCTGCCACGCCTACTTTTATAAAATATGTAAGTATCTAAAACTTAGCAAATTAGAGTACAGTTGACTCATTAAAAGATAGCTTAGAAAGTAAGGCAGCTACGCCAGGCATGGTGGCACACACCTGTCATCCTAGCACTCAGGAGGCTGAAGCAGGAGGATCCCGAGAGTTCGAGTCTGGCCTGGGATATGCTGCAAGATCCTCCCTCAAAAAAACCCCACCAGTAACAAAAAGGATCATATGCAGCTGACACCGTTTCTGGCAACAGCAGAGGGGAGGGCGGCTCTGTCCCCAGCATCCTGCCCGTGGATACCTACTTCTCGTAGAGCCGCTGTCCCCGCACGAAGGCCTTGACCTCTCCATCCTGCGGGAAGGTGCCGTCGTCCTTCCGGAAGCGGTAGAAGAGCTTCACATCCTTGAACTCCTTGTGCTCGTCACACACTGCGACACGGGCAGGGGCACATCAGGGGTCTGCGTCCCAGGCTCAACCCAGGCGCGGGTGCCAGTGGGGGGTGCCTAGCACAGTCCCCCGACCCTGCGGCCCCGCGCCACCTACAGGCAAGTCCCTAAATGCAGTCCCAGCCCTTGGCCGGCAGGAGTCGCCCCAGGATGGAGACTCGGAGCTGGGCCGGGCATGTGCACCAGACCCAGCAGAGGCTGAGGCAGGAGGATCACTCTTGAGTTGGAGGCCCGCCTGAGCTACAGCGTGAGACCCTTTGTCAGAAGCCAACGTCCACAATGCCTGCAGAAACCAACCCCTCCCCAGAGGAGCCGGCAGTGCACTGGGAGGAGGCTGGAGGGCCAATTCACAGACCTTGCACTAGTGTTTTTTTTGAGACAGCGTCTTGCTATACAGCTCAGGCTGGCTTTGAGCTCACTTTGTAGCCCAGGCTGAGCTCAAACTCACGACAATCCTCCTTCCTCAGCGTCCCTAGTGCTGGAATGACACGTGTGTGCCACCAAGCCCAGCCTAGACTTTTTAATCTCAGCTGGGGGGGACAACGCAGTCTCGGGCCCAGCCCCCTGCTCCGGCTCGGCCCTCGCGCTCCCACCGTGGTGGATGATGCCCCGGTCGGCCAGCCTCTGCATGAGCTTGACCGCCGTCTCCCGGTCCGAGGCCTCCTTGTGCTCGATCAGCCAGTCGATGAGCTCCTTGGCCACGAAGCAGTTGGGGTAGGTCCTGAGGTGGTGTCGCCGGTCCTTGATGACCTTCTCCTCATGCAGCCGGAGCCTGGGAAGAGAGACGAGGCTCAGCACACTGGGTGGAGATGCAAATCTTAACCTGCCCGGAGTAGGGCAGAGCAGGAGCCCCCAAACTGAAGAGATCTTAGCGTTCTGGGCCCCTGCTCAGGGAAAGAGTTTGGCAGGTGTGGCGGTGACACAGGATGATGACAACAGAGGGTCTCACAGTGGAGCCCTAGGACTCACGGGGATGCTCCCGCCTCAGCCTCCTGAGTGCTGGGTCCAAAGACACACTGTAGCCATGGGGCACACCTGAAGCCCTAGCAAATGGGGAAGCTGAGGCAGGAGGATCAAAAATGTGAGCCCACCCTGTGCAGTTCAGTGCAAGCCTGTCTCCAGGTTAAGTAAAGGCCCTGGCTCAGTCCCGGAAAGCCCAGGAAGCGTTGCTGGGCAGGGCCTGGCAGTTGGGGTGCGGCTGAGGCAGGAGCATGGCGAGTTGGAGGCCTCAAAACACCAGTGTCCCAAGAGCAACGCAGAGGCACCAGGAGCTGCAAAGCTGAGGAAGAGGAGAGGCAGGACTCTGAAACAGGGACGCGAGCACCGCTGTGAAACGAGAGATAAACCGCAAGGACGAATTACAGCTGAAAGCGGACGTTCTGATTGTAAGAAGGTGACGAAGGAGAGTAGCAACCGAAATGAGACCAGACAGAGCGCAGGCAACAAGTGGGGTGGATTTTGAACTATGAAATGGATGCCTGATGTCTAGACCAACTGGAAAGCTCCCACCCGGCAGACGCAACGCTGCCAGGGCGATTTTCAGGAAAGGAAGAGGTAGGAGCTGGGCATGGCGGCCGTGTCACACCTGCCAGGCCAGCGCTCGGGAGGCTGAAGTAGGAGGATCACTGTGTTTGAGACCAGCCCGGGCTACAAAGTTGAGACCCTGTCTCAAAAAAATAAAATGGAAGAAAGCTCCCCATAATAAAATGGGAAGTCTCCTGATTTAGAAGGAAAGAGGAAGACCTGGTCCACCGGAGGGGGCAGGTAATGCCACGGAAACCAAGCCTAGGAAGCCACACTAGTCCAGGCCACAGGAACTGAGGAAATGCAGGAGCTCCTGGCCAAGAGGGCCTGGCCACCCCAAACCACAGGGATCAGCTCTCCTTGCTGGGTGCAGCCTTGCCCTCCCCACCTTGCACAGAGAACTTGTTACGGACTTCAAACCCTTAGCGATCCTCCTGCCTCAGCCTCCAGGGAGCCAGGGTGACAGGGGTGCACCACTGAACCTGGATTGTCAGGGTTCACACCCTTCCCCAGGCCCTGCTCCAACCTAAGCAGAGCAGGAGACCTAGGCCGAGAGGAGGCTGCTGCGGGGTCCCCGATCTCTCTGGGCTCCTGCTGCCCTGGGTTCCAGGAAGCCCCTCTCGGGACCAAAATCAATGGAGCCGGCAGCCTGTTCTGGGTTCCAGGGCAGCAGGGACCCAGCTCAGTGATGGCAGCTGTTTCCACCCTCGGCCTGGTTACAGCGGCCAGGGCACGCGCCGTGGGGCCTGCCGTCTACACTGTGCAAACACATGGGCTTCCAGGGTCGGAAACCACTGCAGGCAAGCTGGGTGAGGCGACGCAGGCCTGCAATCCTGCACTCCGGAAGCTGAGGCAGGAGGATCTCCAAGAGCTTACGGCTGGCCTGGGCTCCATAGCCAAACCCTGTCTCAAAACAAACAAGGAACCCCCAAATCAAACTAATGATGAATATCACAGCATTCTTTGTCCAACCAAAAAGAAAGCAATGAAGAGCTTTTAATATTTCTCAGCCAGTAATGTGATGATGCATCCCTGTCATCCTGAGCACTTGGAAGGCTGAGGCAGGAAGATCGTCGTGAATTCAAGGCCAGCCTGCACTACACTGCAAGACCCTGTCTCAAAAAGCCAAAAAAAAAAAAAAAGGTTGCAGCCAACAGTAAGAGGCCGCTGGGGACAGAGGGCCACGTCACGACCCTCAGGAGGGTGGCCGAGCTCCCCGCCCCCAGACGCAGCAGTCACACAATGCACTGAGCAGCGAGGTGTGGCAGGCCAGGGCCCACTGGGCAGGACGGTAGGCGCATCTGCCCTGGAGCCCAGGCTGGCCTTGAGCCCCGACCCACCAGCCTCAGCCTCCTGCTGTGGTCGGTGGCTTCCTCTCAGTTTAAGTGACTGAGTCAGAAGCACACAGCTGCCCCACTCCCACCCGCAGGGCCCCAAGCAACTTGAGCCTCGCTGGGCTGTGGGAATCAGGACCTCATTCCATCTGCCTACTGAGGATGGATAGGGAGCCTGTCACAGGCCCAGAGGGACCTTCGGATCAGGTGTGATGGCCCATGCCTCTTATCATAGCACTCGGGAGGCTGAGTCAGGAGGATCGCCCTCAGTTCAAGGGCAGCCTAAACACACAGTCAAAAAAAAAAAAAACTTATTCTTAAATCAAAAAACAAATACCTTTATCCATCAGAGGACTTTATATCAGAAAAATTGTACAGCACTCCGGTTTCTTAAAAACCTCCACAGGGGATCATTTTTCACCCCTTTTAACCTGGACCACGCTATGTATGTGTGTATGTATGTATATGTTCTCTTTTGGTTTTCTGAGACAGGATCTCTCTGTGTGGTTCAGGCCAGCCTTGAGCTCTCAGAGATCCTCCTGCCTCAGACTTCTGAGTCCAGGCTGACAGGAATTTGGACCACACACTTTAAAACTCCACCATTCCAGACAGGGAGCCTGCTCTGCACGTTCAGCCCAGGGAGCTTGGACTGTTTCCTTCCTCGAAACCCGCTGCAGCCTGCACCAGGTCCCAGTGAGGATCCGAGGATGGGGCACCCGGCCAGGAGCCGCGAGTGGAGCAGCTGCAGCCAAGTGTGGC